GCGACCCCCAGATCTGCCCCCCCAGCCCTTGTCCCTGCCCCCCAGAGCACTGCCCCTGGTCCTGCCCCACCCCTGCAAGGAGCGACCCCCAGATCTGCCCCCCCAGCCCTTGTCCCTGCCCCCCAGAGCACTGCCCCTGGTCCTGCCCCACCCCTGCAAGGAGCGACCCCCAGATCTGCCCCCCCAGCCCTTGTCCCTGCCCCCCAGAGCACTGCCCCTGGTCGAGGCCCCCCTCCCACTCACCGAAGTGACGGCTCTTGGCAGAGCCCCCCCGGGCCCGGTAGCGCAGCAGCTGGCGCACATGGCTGATGATGATGAAGGGGGGGGCCAGCGCCGGCCGGTTGTGGTACTCCAGGATCAGGCTGTAACGCTGCGACTTCCAGTAGGTGTCGCTGTTGCCCTGTACCTTGGCAAAGGTGTAACTGGGGGGGGAGGGGGCTGTCAGCCAGGCGGGGGGCAAAGGGACAGCCCCACCAGGCCCTCGCACGCTCATCAGCTCGCCCTCCGCACACGCTAGTGCACCGGGGTCTTGCACACTTAGTAATGCATCCTCTGTGTGTGCTAATACACTGGGGCCTTGCACGCTCATCATCTGACCCTCTGCATGTGCTAGTGCACTGGGGCCTAGCACATTCATCAGCTCCCCCTCTGCATGCACTAGTGCACCAGGGCCTCACATGCAGGTCAGTTCTGCCTCTGCACATGTGCGTGCATTGGAACCTTGCACGCTCGTCAGCTCACCCTCTGCACATGCTAGTGCACCAGGGCCTTGCATGTTCACCAGCTAGCTCTCTGCATATGCTAGTGCACCAAGGCCTTGCACACTCCTCATCTCCCCCTCCACACTCACTTGTGCACTGGGGCCTTGCACACTCATCAACTCTCCATCCACCTGTTCTAGTGCACTGGCACATCAACTCACTATTCACTCATTCTTCTTGCACTAGTGCCCGGCGCTTCCCATGCTCGCCACACGCACTCATTCACCCTGCCCCTTGCACGCTCACCAGCTCACCGCTCACCACGGGGCCCCGCCGGGCGGTACCTGAACATGGCGATGAGCAGGTTGAGAAGCAGGATGTTGGCGACGAGGAGGAAGATGACGAGGAGAACCAGCACCAGCCAGTTGGCGTAGGTGTTCGTGCAGGGCTTGGCTTCCTCCATCAGGATCGCCACCGGGTCGTCCGTGCAGTTCGACGCCGCGATCAGCGCCGCTGGGGTGGGGGGGTGAGATCCGTCAGCCAGACCATCCCCTACTGTGGGGCCAGATCGGAGCCGGCGCCCCCTAGAGGGGAAAAGCCCCGGGCCCCATTCCCTGTCCCCCTGAGCCAGTCCAGCCCGTGCCCTGGGGCCAGATGGCAGCAGGTGCCCCTTAGAGGGGAGAGGCCCCGTGCCCCCTTCCCCACCCCCCTGAGCCAGCCGGTCCCTGTCTGGGGCCGGATGGGAGCTGGCGCCCCCTAGAGGGGAAAAGCCCCGTGCCCCATTCCCTGTCCCCCTGAGCCAGCCCAGCCCCTCGGCCCTGGGGCCAGATGGCAGCAGGTGCCCCTTAGAGGGAACAGGCCCCGTGCCCCCTTCCCCACCCCCCTGAGCCAGCCGGTCCCTGACCTGGGGCCGGATGGGAGCTGGCACCCCCTAGAGGGGAAAAGCCCCGTGCCCCATTCCCTGACCCCCTGAGCCAGCCAGTCCCCGCCCCGGGGCCGGGGGAGAGCCGCGCCCCGCACCATCGATCTCGTCGAGCGGGATCTGGCCGAAGATCTGCAGGTAGGGCCGGTAGAAGACGCGGCGGAAGATCCAGGCCAGGCGCTGGTCACTGGGGTGCAGCAGCCCCTCGGTTGTTACCCCGTAGGCCACCAGCCAGACGGCCAGGAAGAAGAGGAAGAGGAAGACGTCCTTCATCTGTTGGGGGTGGGAGCATGAGCCCCTGGGATGGGACTCCCCAACCCCCTCCTGGTCAGAGCTCCTTCACTGCCCCCCATAACCCACATGATCACCCCATATCCCCCTCCTGGTCAGAGCCCTCCACTGTCCCCCTCAACACAAGAATCCCCCCAAACCCCACCCAGCCCCCCCCCTTTCCATCCCTCCCTCACCCCCCGGACCTCCTGCTCACCATCTTGCCCACGATGATCATCTTGGGGCCCAGTTGCTTGTTGACGGCGAAGATGTGGATGAGACGCAGGGTGAAGACCATGAAGTCCAGGCAGAGCACGGTGCGCCCCGACGCGTAGGTCCTGGGGAACATCCTGGGGGGGGGGGAGTGAGGTGAGGGGGGGTCCAACCCCCCAGCACAGCCGGGAGCTGCCCCCAATCCCCTCCCCAAAGCACAGCCAGGGACCCCGGCTCAGTTGGGGGGTGATTCTGGGCCGAGGAGGGAATGGGTCAGGGAGTCCCCAACCCGCTCCCCACTCACAGCTGGGGCCGTGAGATGTGACTCTGTGCTGGGGGGGGGCACGGAGCCAAGGCTGGTGGGGTGGGGGCAAAGGAAGGGGGGCAGCGGCACCGGGCCCGGGCAGAAGGCATGGGGGGATGGGACGCTGGGGGGCCACGCCCAGGCAGGGGGGACGGAGGGACGGGAAGCTGGGGGCCACGCTCAGGCAGGGGGGACGGAGGGATGGGAAGCTGGGGGCACCGTGCCCAGGCAGGGGGGCCGGGAAGCTGGGAGCACCATGCCCAGGCAGGGGGGACAGAAGGATGGAGGCTGGGGGCACCATGCCCAGGCAGGGCAGACGGAGGGACGTGAGGCTGGGGGTGCCAGGGGCTGGGGGCACTGTACCCAGGCATGCGGGGACAGGAGTCTGGGGGCTACGCCCAGGCGCGCCGGGGGTCTCACCGGCAGACGGCCCCCAGCAGGAAAAGCCCCAGGGCGGTCAGGTCGAACTGGTTCCAGGGGTCCTGCAGGTAGGCGCGGACGCGCTGGGCCAGCGCCCGGCGCCCGGTGAAGCAGCCCTGCCGCAGCTCCTCGCACAGCAGGGTGAAGACCCAGGCGTAGAGCAGCACCTCGGAGGCGCAGGGGCCGTCGGGCGGGGGGGCGCGAAGTCCAGCAGCAGCACGTAGGAGAAGAGCAGGAGGAAGAGCAGGTACATCACCACGTTGCCCAGGAAGGCCGTTGCCGGAGCCCCCCAGAACCGGCGCCAGCGCCAGAGCCAAGCCCGGCCCGGCCGCGGGGGGGAGCTCAGCGAGGACACGGACCTGTGGGGAGCGGGGTCAGATCTCAGCATGCGGGGTGTCTGGCTTGTGGGGGGGTCAGATCTCAGCATTGGGGCAGGCACAGCCATGGGGGTCTCTGAATGGTGCAGGGGAGGGGTTAGATCTCAGCATGGGGGGGTTAAGCCATGGGGGGGGTCTCTGAGTTGCAGGGTGGGGAGGTCAGATCTCAGCATGAGGGGGGTGACACCCTGGCACCCCAATATTCACCACGGTCATGGAATGAGGATGTGTTTTGCGCCAAGTCGGCCGTGTGAGGTTGTGACGAAGTGGGGGATTGTCTTGTTTTTCCCTTGGGTTTCCAATGGTTTGCACGCCGAGGGGGTGGGACTCAGTGTCCCTGGGTGTTGCTGGTTTAACGAGGGGAGGGGAGAGGGAGTTTGTGGGTACACAGGACCGGAGAGGGAACTTGGGATCCCGGCCAATGGCCTGGAGAATGGAGACCCCAGCTGCTGGTGACCGGGTGACCCGGAGACCCAGCTCAGGAGTCGCAGCCGGTTGTGGCCAGTGGGGGGACAATGGGCTGCGGAGAGAGGACCCCGGTGTCCGGACCAGCCGGTTCCAGCCAGAGGGGCCAGAGGACGGAAGAGGGGAGAGGAGGCCCAGGCGACCCGGTTTACAACCCTGTTTCCCTGGAGAGAAGACAATGGACAGAGGTGGGGCTGGGGGCCGGGGGTATCAGATGCCCAGCTGGGAGCAGGGGGGGCTCGGGGCTGGAGAGGGGGAGCAGGCAGAGCCCACCTGGGTGCAGGGGAGACTGGGATGTGCTGGGCTGAGGGAGGCCAGGCCTGAGGCCCTGAGAGTTTCCTGTGCTGTGTTCAACGCTCAATAAACCCTCCTGTTTTACGCCGGCTGAGAGTCGCTCCGGGCTAGAGAACAGGTGTCACGGAGTTTGGGGGAGTCAGGGCCCTGCACCCCCGGCTTCCTGCAATTCACCGGGACTCTCAGGCAGCCAGTGACACAGAAGGTTTATTTAGCCGACAGGAACACAGTTCAAGGCAGGTCTTGCAGGTACAGACCACAGGACCCCTCAGTCAGGTCCATCTTGGGGGGCCAGGGGAGGCCAGGAGGTCTGTCTGGCCTCCCCTCCATTCCCCCAGGTAGCTCCAAACTGAAAACTCCCCAGCCCCTCCTCTGCCTTTGTCTCTTTCCCGGGCCAGGTCACCTGATCTCTTTGTTCTCCAACACCTTCAGTTGGCACCTTGCAGGGGAGGGGCTCAGGCCATCAGTTGCCAGGAGACACTGGCCCCCTAGGGCTCTGCAACAATCACCCCCCCCCCCAGACATTCGAGAAATGCATAGGGGAAACTGAGGCACCCATGCAGTATTCAGAGAAAACATTAAGAACATTCCCACTTCGTCACAACAGGGTGGCACTATTCCCTCTGGGACTGGAGGCCCGGGGGGTCTGGAGCGAGTGGATTCCCCAAGGGGCCCCACGGCGAGAGACAGGTGTGCTAAGGCTCAGAGAGGTGCGGCTCCAGGAGGTGCAGGGGCCTGACCCCCGAGAGAGAGTGGACCCCCAAGAAGGGCTGTCTCACTGAAGGGCGTTTCCCCTATGGACCGCACGGGGCCAAGAGTGGGCACAATCTGTGAGTCCATAACAACAGTATCATCTCGATCTGCTGGACACGAATATCTCGTTGGCTGGTAGGTGCTGCCGTCGCATGGGAAGTTATGAAGTTTGCTAAGTGTGACGACGTGGGAATGTTCTTAGTGTTTTCTCTGAATACTGGGTGTGTGCCTCAGTTTCCCCTATGCAGTTCTCAAGTATCTAGGTGGGGGAAAAGGGGGGTGTGATTGTTGCCGAGCCCGAGAGGGCCAGTGTGATGCCCAACACCCTGTCTCCTGGCAACTGATGGCCTGGGCCCCTCCCCTGCAAGGTGCCAACTAAAGGTGTTGGAGAACAAAGAGATCAGGTGACCTCCTGGCCCGGGAAAGAGACAAAGGCCAGAGGAGGGGCTGGGGGTGGGTGGGTGTCAGTTTGGAGCTGGCTGGGGAAATGGACCTACCCCCCAAGATGGACCAGACTGAGGGGTCCTGGTCTCACAAGCTCTGTTTTGGGCTGTTCCTGTCGGCTAATAAACCGTCTGTGTTCCCGGCTGGCTGAGAGTCACGTCTGACTGCGGAGTTAGGGGGCAGGACCCTCTGGCTCCCCAGAATCCCCCCCCCGGATGGACTCGCTGCGGGAGGCGCACGGGGGGACGGGGATGCTGAATGCTCCGGGCTCAGCCCCAGGACAGTGGATTCTGACTTGCAGGGGGGGCTAGATGTGGGGGGCAGCATGGAGGGGGGATGACCTTGCAGAGGGCTCTGATCTGGGAGGGGGCAGGTTCAGGACCCCTCAGCACCATGGGATGCAATGTATGGGGCACGCTGCCCGCCCCCCCCCGCAGGCTGCCCCCCTTACCCCGTCAGGATCTCCTCCATGGGGCATTTCCCGTCAGTGTCCAGGTTCTCCAGCTCCAGGCCGTGGGGCTTCTCCTGCTCCAGATCCTCCTCCATCGCCCTGGGGGGTGGGAGAGGGGGAGAGGGAGACTGAGTTTGGGTCCCCGGTGCTGCGAGCTTTCCCCCAACAGTGCCCCAGCCGGGGTCACCGATGCTGCGAGCTTCCCCCCAGCAGTGCCCCCAAACTGGGGACCTCGGTGCTGCAAGCTCCCCCCCAGCAGTGTTCCCAGCTGGGAACCCTGATGCTGTGAGCTTCCCCCCAGCAGTGCCCCCTTATGTAGTTGACCCCCTCCCCAGGGCCCCCGGCACCCACCTGAAGGTGATGAGGTGGGTGAAGATGAGGGGGGGG